TTGACTAATTTTCAAAGTTAAATTAGATTAATTTGATATTTTGAACAAAAAAATTTAGATATTCAAAAACTATATGGAAAGTACTATAAAGTGCAATTTTTTGCATGTCAATATGATGAAAAAATATATCGTAAAATGCTAGTCAAAGTTCTTATCGTTTGACTCTAAAAAAAGGAAATCATGACAACTAAAAGTGGACGGAGGAATTAATTTGAAATGATTTTTTATATATATATATATATATGGAATGAGAATAATATGTACCGACCATTGGCACGAACACACTGGGATGAGAATAATATTTTTTGGCGAAATACATTGACATACCTTTAAACTTTTTAGTTTCATAACAGTGACATTCACATACCTTTTGTTATACGTTAATTTACTAAAAGTCAAACCATAACATTTGGTCCTTAATGTTTCATAAAAGCTATGTAAATTCTAAAACCATTTTCTCTAACATAATTTCTTATTTTTTATTTCTTAAAATACTACTCCATTCCATCGACCAAATATCCATTTTTGTTTAAGCAAGAGAAAATAGTAAATTTTGTTAGAGAAAGTAAAGACAATGATGTTAGATTTCATGAAGTTTTTCTTTAAGCTAACAAAGAAAACGATATTGGTAGATTTTGTTAGCCAAGTGGGATCCACAGTTAAATTTAATACTTTTTAAAAATAAATCCGTTAGACTTAGGATAAAGAGTTAAAATAAACACCATTTGTTACATATTAAAGACTATTTCAATTAAGTGATTGAGGTTGTATGATTTGTTGAGCGTAAATGTGTATCATTAAAGGAGGTGATATATTTTAAATTATTAACTTATTCGTATAATGAGTGTCTGACAATATGTGTAGAAGGTTTTTCAAAGTTTAAACTAAAATTATTGAATACAAATATTTCATTATATATTTAAATACTTCATAAAACATATCATAATTTGAGTGTCTAAATGAACTATATTGACAAATCTTAAAGGGGTTGTTAATATATTCCACCTATATATTTCAATTAATTTACGCCCACAAAACCAGCACATATATTTCCTCTATCCCTTTTGTCAAACTCGATATTGCGTGTTTTCCTTTAAAGCCATAGCACAAAATCTTAGTCGAAGCCAGTAAGTTGAAAAAACTTTATCATGTGTTTCACAATAAACAATAGTTGTGTCATATATTCATTTTTATTAGTTCACTACAATAATTTTTTTAATTTTTTTTTATACTTTTAGCATATCAAGAGAAAATTTTTTTCTCCAAGTTTTACTCTTATCAAGACGTAAACTAAACACTAATTACTATAAATATTATGATAAAAAACATGTAAGTTCAAAATAAATAAGTAAAAGTGACTGAAGAGAATAAATTCAATTCTTACATACTTGGGTCTACAAAATATGAATTTATCGAAATTATGAAATAAAACGAAGTCTCACAAAGCTAACTAACGTCAGTGATATACAAAAGAAAAGTTTCATTGCGGATGAAAAAGTAAGAAATGAAAAGTTTCTACTTTGAAGATTCTTGTTTTTCCCGCATATTCACAGGCCAAAGTGTTTAGCAGAAGAGAAAATATCAGTCTCAAAGGGGGTTTGAATTGGGTTAAAAGTTGGTCAAATCTATTTTTAAGTTAGTTTTTTTATTTTTGAAACTGTTTGGCAAATATAGAAATAAATTAAAATAAGTAAAAAATGATTTAAAAGAAGTTTAGGAAATGTTTGACAAGATTAAAAACAACTTAAATAAGTCAAAAATCAAAAATAGATATCCCCTACAATTTATTTAACATAAAAAATCATTTAAATTTGACTTTTTTTAATTTTTGACTAAAAAAACTTAATTCAAACGGGCTCTAAAACCTATATGATGATACAACTGATTGACAAGCCCCATCACAATTCTTCTCTTATACTGTTATCCTCATCTGGATGATATTTCAAATGAAGTCGGCAGATTCTTTTTGTAACTAACCACTCAAGTCAAGGAATAAACCTAAGTGCTACTTTAATTTAGACTTTGGACCACATTACAAGCTTGGATATTTTGAAATAGGAACCAACCTAAATATGGTCCACATTTTACCCATGGATAAATCAAACTTAGGCCAATGACCCTAAGCTCATAAGAAAGATTAGATGAACTCTTCCCCACACACATCCAAAACAATTAATAAAGTAGTGGCTTGGAGTCATTAGCTCTCGGGTTCAAATTTTAGTGAAGATAAAATTATTAAGTGATTTTTTTTATCTATTCTAATTTTGGTGAACATAGTTATCTGGTACTTGTTATTGGTGAAAAGTGGCAGATATGTTTTAGAATTAATCAAGGTTCACGAAAATTAGACTGAATACTACGATCGTATAGACGATTGGAGATGACTAGTATTTTACTTTTTGATGATACTATTAGGAAATGTGCACAAATAGGATGACACACTTGGTTATTTGATGTTATGGAGGGTCTTACTATTGTCCTAGAGACACGAATACATCATTTTTGGTAGGGAACGTAGAGCTGAAATAGTCTCTATAATACTAATCAGAAAAAGTTCTATAATTCTTCATTGAAAAATCTTAAGCTTGACAATATTCAAATAATTATTGCCTTTGAGCCTTATTTGTTTGCACTTTATTGATATTTGAATTTAAATTATTGAAATCTCAAACTATTAAAAAAATACATTCTTTCTTTTTCTTAAGATTAAATCAACTTAGTATAGAGTTGAATAGATCCAAGTTATTCTAATATTTAACAATTTTATAATTACTGAAAAGTAATTCAGAAAAAAATTATAATGAAGACTAATTACCACTCATTTATCCACGACTATCATCATTAGCACCCACTACTTGTAATGACCCGGACGGTCATTTTGAAAAGTTTCATGAATTTACTGATTTGCTCCTCCCGATATCAATCCCAAGTCTTTTATGTTTGAGTTTGAAAAGTTGGTTTTGAACTTTGAGTTAAAAGTTGAGAATTTGGTAAGTTTGTGAGTTTTAAAGGTTAAGTTGTTAAGGAAGGGGTTTTTGGGGTCTTTTGGAGTTTCGAGTGTCGGAATGGAATTTTGTCGATTCCATCATCCCAAAATGTGAAATCTGAGCAGTGAGAGTTGTCGATTTCTGTTTTCAAGTCTTTTTGAAGATTTGAGGTCCTAAGTTGTGAAATTGTGAAAATTTAGCCTTTGAATTGACTTTGATCAACATTCGGGGTTCAGATGCTCGAATTGAAATTCCGAGAGTTCCATTAGATTCGGGGGATGATTACAAGCCTCGGTGAGAGAAGTCCTGCGCTTGTTTTAGCCTTTTTAGGCGTGAGTTAGTTTCTACAATTTATATGTTGCAAATTATTCTGTTCATATTAATGTACCAAGTTTTTTTCACTTGATGATACATAATTTTGTTTGTCTGTTGATTTACAATTGTAATTCAGAATGCATGCACTAATATACATCCAACATGGAGGAACTGGCTAGAGTGTGTAACTAATGCAAACATTAGTTATACATAGGTTGGAAAAGAGTATCAAACAAGGTACTAGTAATACACAAGGCTAATGCATGTATTATTTTTCCTAATACACTACCAAACAACCCCTTAATGTTTTATTGTTTTGAAGATACTTTTACTTGTGTTACTCTAAAAACTTGTCCATATTATTTTTAAATTTGAATATATTTTGTTATTCATTCCAGTATGTAACAAAAGCTACAACGTCTAGTTCTGCCTCAGCATGTAGCTTGAGTGCTAGACTATTCCGCCAAGTACCAACTACCTCTAATTGTGAAGCCAAAGATTTCACCAAGGGAGTTGAAGATTTGAATATGTATGAACAGTAATATTTAACTGGCATCATTTCCCAACAAAGGGGTTCAACTAATCATGTTTCACCCGCTCTAGCTTTACCCGCCTACACAACACAAATACCGAGTAACTCTGCCACGAATACTTTGGTTGACTGGACAGAAAAAAGTTTGTTTGCATGGTGAACAAGGATTTCTACTGTTCATATACTATTTGCCACAACATGTCAGGAAAGAAACCCCAACATGAAGACAGCCACATAGATACTCCACCATCAGAAGAAAATACTAAACAAAGTTGTCCACAAGATTCTCTCTCATCCTTTTCCTATTTTTTATTACCATTATTGCCAAACTTTTGGGCCTACCACTTCACAACATTACATCAATCACATTCTAATTGAGTGTAGTATAACACACTACCACCACTCACTCCAACATCTACATTCTGTTCAAAAACTTCTCATACACTAGTTCTCTCATACAGGAAATAGATTTTTGCAGTAGGGTTTCCATCTTTATAATACTTGTCACCTACTTGATAATGAAAGTTTCTGCAGTGTACAATTTTAACACCGCACAAAAAAAAAGCATGGGAAATGATGAAAACACATTGAGCAACTTAATGAAACATTTGGATATAGTGTTAACCTATAAACCATCTAGTTCTTGATAATATAACAAAACTTAACTGAAAACTTCAGGCAGTCGGGGTCCATTAAAAAACCCTACCTTTCGGCATGTGTCAACCCACAAAGCCGCTTGCCTGATTTCTAAGTCATAAACTGCTACCAGAAACGATCATAAATCTATAAGCTACAGCGAATAATAGAAGCAGCAAAACCACGGAAGACGACAAATTGTAGAAATATGATGAGACTAAAAATGGAATCAAAACTGGATTGTCCATCTTGTTTATTTCTTATTTATAAAGAAAATATCCACCTGGTTTATTTTAGTAAAACTCTAGTGGAAGATAATTAAAGTTTGATATACCAAAAGAATTCATTAATACTACATCAAGGAGGGGTAATCTTATTCTACCTTCTGCATAATTAGGTAGAATTACTTAAATAGTTACCTAATTAAAGGTAGAACTATTTCAACAGATGAGAGATATCAGTGGGGAATTTAGACTTGACAAAGACTGCAGTGTAACATGATCTAAGCACTGTCCCCTAGAACACCAAGCATCAGCTGGAGGGGACAGTGAAAATAGATATGATCAATCATAGTTATCTGATCTGACCTTCACCTCCTGTGTGATCTCTTTTTATTCCTTGCCTATCTGTCTGGAGCCCTTTAAAAGTCCTTTTGGCTAGTATCTCCATAAAGCACCTTTGTACATCCACAAAATTTCAAGCTAGCTCTTCAGTGAAAATTGTGGGAGAAGAAAAAAGCAACTTCTGCTCAATTACAATACGATCGGGAATGAGAGGTGCTGAAGATGGCAATCAAGGCACTTATGTGCTTGATCAAGGAGAATGGTTGAATTTGAGCTTAGGAAGAAACTTGCCTTCGATATCTAAAGAATCTGAGTCACATATACCGACTTCAGGCAAGGTTTTTTCATGTAACTTCTGCAAGAGGAAGTTTTACAGTTCACAGGCACTAGGAGGCCACCAGAATGCTCACAAGAGGGAAAGAGGTACAGTAAGACAGTATCAATCTCAGAGGATGATGACAATGATGGCTTTGCCAATCAATAACCCCATGTTCAGATCACTTGGTATGATTCCCCACTCCCTTGTGCATAAATCCAGCAGAGATGCAAGAGCAACTGCGGCTACGTTCAGCGAGGCTAGCGCAGGATATCAGAGGACATCGCTTACCAATCAAATGGACAGATCATTTGATCTGAAGTGGCCAGGAAGTTTTCAACTAAATCAGCAGCAAACAAAAGACCTTACGTCAAATCCCACTAAGCTTGACCTGAATCTGAAGCTGTAATTGTTCTCCTCATCCATATAGTCAACCCAACCCCAAATATTTCAGAACTGAGGCATAGTTATTATTGTTGTTGTTACCCGTCCCACATGGAACTCGTTATTTGCCCATCTGTTACAGCTTCAGTCCATCAGTACATGAACTATTTTGATGAACTTTGGGCAACAATTAAGAGCAAAAGAATCCTATAGCAATACAACTCTTTAATATCAGGATTTTTTTCCAGACCCTAGTGTAAGGATCAATAACAACAATTTCAAGCTTTCTCATGTCCAGATATGAAACCAGAAGTGTAAAATGTACTTAAGTGCTTTTGTTCCTACAGCCCCTGGAACCGCACAACACCATAATCTCCATCAAATATATAGCAGAAGGTTCTCTAGCTTTTGTTTATAATCGTCTTTTCTATTTATGATCTGTAATCTAGAAAGTAACATGTTTATGCTACAAGAAGTTGGACAAATTTTATCTAGAAGTTATAAGAAAAGCAACTGCATTCAAACGTTCTTTACTAATGAAGTTCGAAGATATAATATATTTGCAAGGGAGAGAGAGAGTGCATTGAGCAACACACACTGGTTTCACAGCATTAGTGAAAGATGGAAACTATGGGGGGGAACCTTCATAAAAATTCCATTTCCTTCTCAATAAACGATGTAGGAGGAGAAGGAAACGACTTCTCAACTTTTTTTGTTTGCTTCCATCATTTCTAATTCTCCGGATGGTGGTCAACAATGTTCATGACTAAGATATCACATATTAAATTGAAAATAGAACGATTTGGCCTTCAAGCTAGTACTTTCAACACGTCAGTTTGATCGATTCTTCACTTTCACGTCCCAGGTGAACAGAAATGATAAATGTAAGCCCCTACTAATCAGCAAATATTAGCAAGCCTTCTCTAACACTTACTTTAAAGCTCTACTGCTACATGACATCAGCAGATTACAAACAGAAAGCCACTACTTGCACCTCTCGTAGAACCTTTTGAAAACTAACAGCCACAAATGAAAATCATGTCCGGATGATTCATCTATAGTTTAATGTCAAATCAACCAAAATAAGACCAAAAATATTCAGCATCACATCACAAGCACTCTCTATTAAATGCTTTGAGATGTTGACACTAAAAAACATCATGTGAGTACCCATAAATACTCTTCTATATATCTTTACTGACACACATTCTGAAGACATATCTTTGATACCTGATAGTCATCATCTATCTGAATTTCATATTATGTAATATATAAGATACAGCGCTATAATTTCACATCTTACTAAAGCACCAAATATTAGTTCTATGTAAAGCACTTACAATCCCGAGTGACATAATCCAAGTTTGATAACATACTATCTCACAGCCACCAACAAATGAAACTTGTCGCTTCTCCTTTTTCAAGTTTTGAGCACCTCAAAGCCGTTGCTGTCAAACATTTTTTCCCTAATTGAATACAACGAACTTTCTGTTTAGATTTTTTGAGGAAGTACTAAACATCTAAGGTCTCAAAACAAAGCATCGGTACCTGTGAGAAATATAGGAGAAAAGTATTATTATTGAATTGTATATTTACATTCTTACTTTGAGCCCTATTTATAGACAGTTAGACACTACATGACAATCCTTCTCCAAGTAGAATACTATATACAAATCATATTCATATTCCTACTCTAGCACTCCTCAAGTTGGTGCATACAAATCATATGTACTGAGCTAGCTACAACTATAATTAATACGAGGAGCATTGAGGGACTTGGTGAAAATATCTACAAGTTGACCACTCGACTTCACAAATTTTGTTACAATATCTTTGGAGAGAATCTTTTCTCTGATAGAGTGACAGTCAATCTCAATGTGCTTAATCCTCACATGAAATATAGGATATAATGTGATATGAAGGGACTCTTGGTTATCACACACAAATCCCATCTGACTGATTTCTCCAAATTTTAGTTCTCTAAGCAACTGTTTAATCCAAACTAGCTCACAAGTTGCTACAGTCATTGCTAGATATTCTGCTTTTGCACTAGATCGAGCAAACACACTCAGTTTCTTACTCTTCCGGGACACCAAATTATCTCCTACTAAAACACAATATTCAAATGTAGAACGTCTTTCAGAAGGTGATCCCTGCCCAATCAGCGTTTGTATATCCAACGATCTGCTCATGACCTCGATCCTCGAAAAAGGAGTCCTTTACCTAGAGAGGACTTTATATCTCAGATGTGAATTGCATTCCAATGGCTATCACAGGAAGAATCCATAAACTGACACACAACACTCATAGGAAAAGAAATGTCGGGTCTAGTCACTGTGAGATAATTCACTCTAATACCGTCAAGCCTAGTGTGTCGATTGCATCACTCACCTTATGGTCTAAAATCGTGTGAAACCCTACCAAAAATTGGCAAATGCACAGGAAAATTGGCAGACACCGAATTAGGGTTCCGGTGATCTAAATCCAAAACAAACTTGATGGAAAGGCTCACAAGGATTGGGCGAGCCTATAAGAAAAAGAATTGCTCAAAAAACTGGTCGGAACAAGCCTCACGCGTCTGCGCCTCGGCAGATCTCGTCGGACGTGACAACCTTTTGATCAGCGTGTGGGACGTTAGTTCACGACAAAGCTTGTTGGGGTTTGGTTGCGGAGAGATGCCTGACCTGATAATGTTATCGGATTTTGCACAACACCTGTATAAACCACATTCTGGTTGTCTGACAATGCCAGAATAATTTTCAGTCACCGGAAAAAAATGCACAGTGATAATATTCCATGATGGCTCTAATGCCATGTGAGAAATATAGGAGAAAAATATTATTATCACATTGTGTATTTACATTATAACACTGAGCCCTATTTATAGACACTACATGACAATCCTTCTCCAAGTAGGGTACTATATACAAATAATATTTCTACTCCTATTCCAACAGTACCCTATAATGGATTTGGAGGCAACACAGACAGAAGAGGGGCTACCATTGGCCCTGCAACCTCACCCACCCCCACAACTTCTGTGAATTTTTGGTGTGAATCTTCTATCTAGATCTAAAAGAAGTTACCCCTACTCCCGTTTTACAACCGCTCATACATTGAAAGATAAATATTATCTATTCTAACTAGAATTCAAATTATTGGGTCAATAATGGTGCAATTGAAGAATCTTATAATATAACCCATCAACCGGTCAACCCCTAACGGATTTTGTATTCATATAACTGGAACCCATGTCCAAAAGTTGAAATCTGTCACTTAAAAAAGTTCTAATAGAGTAATTTTGGAAAATATTGGGTAATTTGCTGATGGGAGCTATTTTGTTGGTGTACACCTTGCTTCTTTATCAGCAACTTCACCAACTATATTCATTTGGTTGCCAGATGTTATGCTAAGGGAAGAATTATGACAACATATGCTGGGTTCCATTTTTGACCATTTCTCAGCACAGGAGTCCCTACTATCAGGCGAAACATGAATACCAATTGACTCTCCACTATCACCTGTAATTTCTTCCCACAGAAAATATTGAATACCCACGTAAAAGCCCACATGAGGTGCACAATATCATTTCTGTCCGCTGTTTAGGACTTCAATGATAGTCATTCCAGCTTCACATGGAGAGTTTTTACAGTTAAAGCTTCTATTAGAGGTTCAAGTGAGAAGGTTCTAAGTGGATAAGAGATTTTGGGGTCAAAATGTCTTTTGATTATTGTTAGAAAAGTGGGATTATTCTCGCTTCTCTACCATTATACTCTCATTTCTCTGATGCTTCAACCACATTCTTGCACTTTTTGCATGCAGTACGGATCGCTCCAGAAATCCAGATGACACACACTTAATGCGGAAAGATCAGCATTCAAATGAAGGACAAAGCAAAAGCACTCCAGGTTGTGATATTCATAACTTGCTTGAGGATAAATAACAGAATGTAAATTAAGTTCCATAAAAGCGGGTAAATGAAAAAGATCTTAGACAACAATCTAGGATCATACTACTGCTTACAGGACACTCCAATATTGAGTTTTTGAGTCTTCTGCATTACAATGGGAAGCTTGTCAGCGATGATGCTTGGATCACTATATGCAGCAGCATCAGAGGGATATCCTTTCTGCAGATATTAAGAAGATTAGCAAGGGAATGCTACAAATCAGGTAACTATAACACAAAAGCAACACAATCTAACATCAGAACTATGCCAACATGCAATCAAAGGTGTAGTGCTAATTGGACACAACACTCCTGCAAAATACTGAATTTCTAACAATAGGCATTCAAGAAGAGAGATCTCCTTACTTAAATGGACCAACTAAGGTTTTCTCCATACAGAATGCTTCTTTCTTCATACAGTATTAAGCAAATATCTAGTAAACAAATGCTCCAAGCACATCCCCAAAGAACCTCTCTTCTACTTTCTAGGAGAGAGAAACAACCTTCTTATTTCTTCTTCCAGTAGCTCCAGCCAGAAAACTCTCTTTTTCTTCTTCTTTTTCATCCCCTCAGTCATCACCTTCTGTGATAACCTTTCTTTATCTTTCTTTCTTCCCTCTCCAATCATACGATTGCTTGCAAAACATGAGGAAAATAGGATATATTTCAACGCTGGTTTTAAATCTTTTGATATAACAAGATGGACCTCTAACAACTCAGTGTGGTATGAGTGGGTTGAGAGGAGTCGTAAACTGATGAAAAGATCATCGATGAGCAAAAAGATCATGGAATGGATATGCTTTACGCTTAAAAATGCTTTCTAGAGATCACATGAAAGTGGTCAAGAGATGGAAAACTTCAGAAAAAGATGCAGAGCATTTCTGTACTAGGAAACAAAATGGGTAAAGGAGGAATATGACCATTTTGTTCTTAAATAAGGGAGAAAGATCAGTCCTTATTATACCAGAACCAGCTTTGAATGCAGGCTGGTGGGATATAGAACACAAAGTTGAGAACCTCATTAAATGCCCTAAAAGACAGGGACCAAAGGCCCTCCAAGAATAACTGAAGCCAACTACCCCTGCATGAAAGTCGTACAAGACAGTAAATGGCAAAGCAAGAATCTCGTGAAGCAGAGGTGACAAGCAAGATGAGTAGCATTAAAATCTTGACAAAATCTGGTGGACAAGATGACAGACTGCTGCGAAGATGTCTGGTAGAAGAAATTGCCAGGAGGCAAAGATGAAGAGCTCTCTAGTTGAAAGAAGGTGAAAAGAAGACAAAATTCTTTTTTTTTTGACACTAGTAACATTTGTATTTCAGTCAGTACTACCTTAGTACTGAAAAACCATATTTACAAAAAAGAAGAAAAAGATTAGTCTTTCCAATGCTAAACCAGGAACTAGATGCACCCTAAAACATCTATGATTGACTCAGTCTCATTGGAGTAGACATTTATACACCAAAAAC